ACCTGAATGAAAAGAATTAGAGAAGAAGATGAACCATAGGGGTCTATGGACTCCATAAAACAAACTGAGGGTTACAGAAGAGAGTGGGGTTGGGGGATGGATTAGCCCAGTGATGGGTATTAAGGAGGGTATGTGTGGTGATGAGCATTGGGTGTTATATGCAACTACTGAATCACTGAACACTACATGAAAAACTAACGATGTACTATGTGGTAGCTAACTGAACAAAAAGAAAGACTGACTTCCTTCCCTCCTTTCTTCTTTCCCTCCTTCCTTATTCTTCAAGCCTGAACAGGCACTCACGCAATGCAAATACCCTTTTCTCCATCAGTATTTGTTGAAAACAATCACAGGCAATTACTGAACATCATGGCTGCCCAAGACGGTTGGTATCAGTTGAGCAAACAACAGGCTAACAAATCAGCTTAAAAGGAAAAGCTGCAAGAATGTCTATGTCCATAGAGGGCTTTGGAAAGCTCTGGCACATTCCTGGGCATCTAGAGGGCCACAAATATATGTATACTCAAGAATCATTTGAGGAGGCCCTAAACTCACACTACGGGCTAACCTTGAGGACGTGAAAACATGACTGTAAACTGCCTAAGTTGTATATGCATGTACCAACAAGAACTGGGAGGCTTACTGGTTACAAGCATCTAAAGAAACCACTGTAAAACCATTAGCTAACCAACCAGAGACTTCAGGGGTTCAACACAGTATAAAATGCAGACTTCACAGAAGTAGTTCAGAAAAGTCACTGAACACACAAATAGAAACAAACAACAACAACTACAAAGTGGGGAGGGGGTTGGACAATTTGAACTAAGTTCCCACATGATATTACTTAATATTCCAATATCAACAAAGAATTATATGACATGCAGAGAATCATGGTCCATTACAGGAAAGGAAGCTGTCCAACAGAATCTGTCCCTGAAAATGTCCAGATATTGTTTCACTAAACAAAGTCTTTAGGTCAGCTAGTTTAAATATGCTCAGAAAATTAAAGGAAACCATTTCTCATCAAGTAAAGAAATGTTTGAGAACAATGTCTTACCAAATAGAGAGAATATCAATAAGAAGACATATTTCTAAGACTACATAGAAATTCTACATTTGAAAAGTGTAACTGGAATGAAAATTCACTAAAGGGGTTCAACTTCTGATTTGAGCAGACAGAAGAAAAAAAAACTCAGCAAACTTGAATACAAGTCTCATGAAATTACCCAGTCTGAGGAGCAGAAAGAAAAAAGAATGAAGAAAATGAACAGAGCCTTAAATCCCTGTGGGGCAACATACACACAGGGAGATTTAAAGGGAAAGGGGCAAAGAGAATATTCATATGAGTGCTCCTACCAAGAGTGACAGCTGATGTCCCTTCAGAAACCATAGGGACCAGAACTTAGTAGGTGATGTTTTAAAGTGCTGAGGGGAAAACAAAAACAAAAACAAAAACAAAAACTATCAACCGAGAACTTTATATCTGGCAAAATCATCCCTAAAAATGAAGGAAAATTTAATACATTCCCCTTCAAATAAATACTGATGATTTTGTTGCTATTACAACTGTCCTGCAAGAAATGCTAAATAGGCATTTCAGGCATGGATGAAAAACACTGACAATAACTTGAAATTATATGAAAAAATAAAGAACAGTAGTAAGTGTAGTTACGCAGGTAAATGTAAATGCCAGTATTGCGGCATTTTTTTAGTTTTTAACTCTTTGGGTTTTTTTCCCCATATGATCTTAAAACACAAATGCATAAACAATAATTACAAAACTGTAAAGTTAATGGACTAAAGTTAGTGTATAAAGACAAATTTTGACAATACCAACATAAAGCTGCACTTTGTGTAAGGACACAGAGCTGTAAAGGAACAGCTCTTTTATTTAAACTAAGATGGTATAATTTTAAACTTGAATATTACAAAGTTAAGATATTAATTGTGATAACCACTAAGGGTATCCACTAAGAAAAAACTAGATAGATGATAGATAAATAGCTAGAAAGAGCCAATGTTATATGTATATATAATATATACAAAGTTATAGTAAATATATACACTTAATATATGAAACACCAGAAAAAATCAATTAAACAGAAAAAAGATAGAAATGGAGAGAATAAGGAACAAAGAACATACAACATATAAAAAAACAAATACCAAAATAGCAGAAGTAAGTCTTTCCTTGTAAGTATTACTTTAACTATAAATAGATTCAATTTGCTAATTAAAAAGTAGAGATTGGTGAGATAGATTTTTTAAAAAATACATGCTGTCTACAAGAAACTTACTTTAGATCCAAAGACACAAATAGGCTTCAAGTGAAAAGATACTTCTTACAAATAGTAACCAGAAGAGACCTGGGGTGTTTACACTAATGTCAGGCAGAACAGACTTTAAGGCAAAAATCATAGGAAACATTATCTATTGATTGATAAATGCATCAATTAAGGACATCATAAATTGATAAAAGGTTCATTTCACCAAGAAGATCTCACAACTGTAAACATAAGCACAACACACAGGAGATACCACACTGCATGAAGTGAAAACTAACAGATCAAAGAGAGAAAAAGATGTACAATAGTAGTTGGAGAGTTCAGTGCCCTGCTTTCCATAATGGACAGAAAGACAGACAGGAGGTCAGTAAGGAAACAGCAGTACATGCCAGGTAGACCCAGCTGACTCAACAGAACTCTCCACCCACCGCACCAGAGACACACAAACAGAACGTTCTCTGACACAGACCATGGGTTCGGCCAGGAAATGAATCTCAGTAAATGTAAAGAGATGGAAATCATACAGGCTATCTTTTCCAACCACAGATAAGTGACACTAGAAATCACTAATAGAAGGAAAACTGGAAAATCCACAAGTCTGCCAAAAGTAAACAAAGCACTCTTGAAGAAGAATTGTAAGGAAAATTAGAAAATATTTTGAAATAGTTGGAAACGAAACCACAACACACCAAGACTAATAAAATGCAGTGAAACCAGTGCTCAGAGGAAAATTCATAGTTATAAATTATAGGCCTATGTCAAAAAAGATGAGCACAAATCAATAATCTAACTTCACACCTTAAGAAACTAGAAAAAGAAGAGTAAGTGGAACCCAAAGTTGGAAGAAGGAAATAAAGTCTATAGATGAGATGAATGAAACAGAATAAAAAGGCAAAAGAAAGAATGAAGGACATTTGAAAAGATCAACAAAATTGACAAACCACTAGCTAGACAGCTAAGAAATTTAGAGGACTCAAATTATTACAGCAAAAACAATTGTGGGGACACCAGTACAGACCTTACAGAAATACAAACCATGGTCAGAGAACACCATCAACAAGCGAATGCCAACAAATTCTAGATGAAATTCCCGAACTCATAGGAACACACAGCCTACCAAAACTGACCCCAGAAGAAATAGAAAACCTGAACAGACCTACAACAAGTAAAGAGAATAAATCAGTAATCAAAAACAAAATAAGAGGCATCCAGACTGCAAATAATGAAGTAAAACTATCTGTGCAATACAAGGGACACTTTTTTTGTATCTAAAAAAAAAAAAATCCTTAAGAATCCACAGATAATTAATAGGTGAATAAACCAGCTCAGCAGGGTTGTAGGACACAACAGCAATATTCAAAATTAATTCTATTTCTGTATATTAGTGATGAACCTTCCAAAACTAACATTTAAAAAATAATTCCGGGGCGCCTGGGTGGCTCAGTGGTTAAAGCCTCTGCCTTCAGCTCAGGTCATGATCCCAGGGTCCTGGGATCGAGTCCCGCATTCGGGCTCTCTGCTCAGCAGGGAGCCTGCCTCCTCCTCCTCTCTCTCTCTGCCTGCCTCTCTGCCTACTTGTGATCTGTCAAATAAATTAAAAAAAATCTTTAAAAAAATTCCATTTAAGGAAACATCAAAAAGAATAACATACTTACCAAAAAACTCAACAAGTCTTCTACACTAAACACTAAAAATTATAAACTACTGATCCCGGCACTGCCTGCCTTGAAGGGGACATGTCCAGACTCAGGGTGCAGCCACCTCATGTGGGCACAGGGCGGTCCCAGGACACACACAAGCCCCTCAGCAGACCCACACCGCCCACTTGACCACAGGCCCACCGTCTCCACCCTCGAAGTCCCACAGCCCAGACAGTAAAGCCAGGGTCTCATTTTTCCAGGTTATCTGCAGTGTGGTGTGGCCATCAGAGCTGTTTTAAGCCACTGAGTTTGTGAAAATTTGTTGCACAGCAATAGAAAATGACCCAAAAAATACTCCCTGCAAGTTCTTCCCACTTGAAATGTGATGGCTGGAGCTGTGGAAGCCATCTCATAACCAGGAGGCAATAAGCATAATGAAGGCCCTTATTTTGTGCTCAGGGTGGCAGAGAACTAGAAGCAGACAGAGCCTATGTCCCTGTGGTGTCCCTGTGGGAGGCTGTTAGAAACGGTCCCTGATGAATAAAGCCTCTCTATGTCCACACCCTCAGCAGTGGGGTCTACTTCCTCCTGACCTGGAAACCAGGGTGTGTGAAGCAGAACGTGGTGGTGGTCACGCTCTGAGCACAGACCCCAACAAGCCCGGTAGCACCTACTGTTCCCTAAGGGAAACAGAGCCACCATGGAGACACCATGGAGACACACCTGGGACAGAGACACCAGGAGCAAAGAAAGGGATCCCAGACACAGGAGTGAGCCCAACCAACATCATACGGAGACAAAGCCTTGCCATCTGGCTAGACCCACGCACTGAAGCCCTGCTGGGACATCGGACGCATGGACGAGGCCAGGCTGGATACTCCTGCCCCAGCCCACATTTCATGGAGCAAAAAGAAGTGGTCTCACTGAGCCCTGCCCGAACCCCCGACCACACAGCCAACTGTCTCCACAGTTTGGGGGTGTTTGTCAGCTGGCGCTGGATAACTGCCTGTTGTGGGCCTGACCCAGCTTCCTCCCAAACACCTCCTCCAGGCCTGTTCCTGGGATGTCAACTGACCTGCGAGGTCCAGGTGGAAAGACACCTTCTGGCCCCCGGCCTCGCAGCTGTACTCCCCAGTATCCGCCTTCCCCACCTGCTGCACCACCAGCCGCCTGCTGCTGCCCTTGGCCTCCACGTGCACTTTGGAGCTCGCACTCAGCTTCTTTCCATCCTTGTACCACATCACCTCTGTGTGGGCCTGGGCCACCTCACAGCTCAGGGTGGCACTGGCCCCAGCCTTGGCCAGCACCTCCCTGCATGCTGGCTGGTCCTTGGCAAACACTGCAGAGGGCTCTGGGGACAGAAAGGGATGCATGGTCAGAAGCCCCACTGAGGGAAGGTTCCCAAGTCCTGGAGCCAGGGGACCCTGGGAATCCTTCACAGTCAGGTGCTGCTGGTAGAGCCCTCCTCGGGCACAAGGGGACCTGATGCCCTGACCCCTGAAGGGCATGGGGGGAGCAGCCTCTGAGAACCATGATGGACAGCCAGGCCAGTGCCTAGCGACAGAGAGAGGGAGGCCTGGGAGCAGTGACCGAGTCCCAACTAAGGGCCAGGACTCAGCATCTGCCAAGAGGCCCCAGAAGCTTCTAGCAAGAGCCAGAGCCATAGGCATCCAGACCCCGAGTCTTGTCTGCCTCACTTCCTCATCTTCAAAAGGACAAAAAAGCTACAAGTTTCCTTCTTATCTTTTATTTTCCATGCCCACACTTTTTTTCATCTAAATGTTAGTTCTTTGGGAGGTTCCTCTTCCCAACTCTAAGAGCAACGGCCCCTCCCAGGCATTCCTGGAAGAACGGAAGGGCTAGACAGCCTAGCCTCACAAGTGCTTGATGCAGCCAGACCTGCTCCCCACCCAACATGCCTCAGAGGCTGTGACTCACCAGAGACACGCAACTGGAAGTCCACGGAGTCCTCGCCCACACGGCACGAGTAGGTACCCTCATCCCGCCTGGTGACTGAGGTTGCCACCAGCCGGTGCCGTGAACCCACGTCCTCCTGCAAGAAGCGCTGGCTCGAGCGGTTGAGCTCCATTCCATCCTTGTACCAGTGCACACTCACATGGGCCTCCGAGGTCTCGCATTCAAAGTGGGCTGGGCCTCCAGCCACAGCATCCACACAGCCACCAGCAGTGTCCTTGTGCAGAAAGGGAGTGAGCCCTGGAAGAGCGCCCAGGCAGGTCAGTGCGGCCAGCAGAGCCCCGGCCACAGAGACACCTATGCTAGACAGCAGACAGAGACGTCGGGGGCCTGCAGGCCTCCCCCAGACCGGGTCCCCTTCGGAGTGCCACCTGCCCTCAGGAAGCCCCGCCCCCTGCTGACCAGAGCCTCCCCTCCCCCATCCTCCCCAAGGTCAGCTGAGCGTGCCCCACTCCCCACGGCCCTACAGGGACTGAGAACGGCGACTCCCACCACCCAGACCCCCTAGAGCCTGCCCAGAGCAGGGGAACCTAACGTGGGGCCATGGCCATGGTGGACGTGGACCCCCACACAGCAGGCATCACCTTGCACCAGGAGCTGGTAGGCGATGCGGCCCCCACGGCTGACACACTCGTAGAGGCCAGCGTCCTCTCGCACCACGTCCCGCACCAGCAGTGCCCGCTGTCCAGCCATGGCCTGCACCTCATACTTGGGGCCTGGTGGCAACACGTGGCCATCCTTCAGCCACGTCACCGCTGCAGCCTGGTCTGATAGCTCAGCCACCAGCTGTGCCTCCTCATGCAGCCGGGCCAGCACTTCCCTCACAGCTGTTACTGGACGCCTGGTGGTCATCCCTGGGGCCGCTTGGGGCCACCAACAGGTGGACAGAAGGTGCATGGACAGAACAGTGGAGAGAACAGGGGAGGGGACAGAAGGAAGAATGACAAGGAGATGGACGGACAGAGGGGCATGGACGGAGGAGGAGGGCATGGAGGAGGGACATTGGGGTGTGGGCAGCAGAGATGGATGGGCGAGGGAACAGAAAGAGAATGAAGGGGGAAGGAAGAGAGAAGAGGGAACAGACGTGGACAAAGGGAATGGACAGGGAGGGGTGGGGTGGGGAGGGAGGGGAGGGAGAGGAGCAGGCAGACAGAAGAGTGAGGCTCTGAGTCCAGTCCTCCATGCACAACCCACACAACCCATGGGAGAGGCCACTGCCAGCCCTGGGCAAGCTGCCTCCCACCACTCTCTCCTGCCCGACCCTGCCGCATCCAGATCACTTGGGAGCTCACCTGCCCCGGGACAAGCAGCAGCTCCAGGAACCCCCACCCCACTGCTAGGGCCGAGGCCTGGGGGTCCCAGCGGGGGTCCTCCTACCTCGGACCTCCATGCGGATGCTGCTTTCAATGCCGTTGGCCACGAACTTGAGCTCAGCACCGTGCATGCTGGCAGACACCGAGTGGATGGTGAGGGCATGCCGTGTGCCGTCCTGACGGATCATGTACGCGCTGCTGGCCTTCAGGGCCTGCCCGTCCAGGAACCACTCGCCCGCCGAGGCCAAAGTGAGGTCCACGGAGAAGGTCACCTCACCGCCCTCCACAGCCTCCACTGCCTTCAGAGGCGTCCTCACGGCAAGCTGTGGGGCTGCAGGGTGAGGGCTTCAGAAAAGGGCCAGCCTCTGCCCTCTCCACCCCTCCTCTGCCTGAGCCCGGCCCAAGTGCTGCCTCCCCCAGGAAGCCCATGGGGCAGGCACCTGGAGCGCATCCACACTTACTCAGGTGCACAGTCCCTGGGAACTCGAGGTAGGGGCTGTGGCCAAAGCTGTTCAGAGCGGACACCCGGAACTGGAAGTCCCCCTCCTCAGACACGCTGGCCACAGTCAGCTCCTGCGCACCCACCCACTCAGCCTCGTGGCACCGGCTCCAGGTGTGGGCACCAAGCCGCTTCTTCTCCACCAGATAACCATCGATGGGGACACGGTGGTCCCCGTGGGGTGGCGGGGACCAGCCAAGGGTCACGGAGCACTCTGTCCTGGACTTCACCATGGGGGCCTCAGGTGCGTGCAGGGGCGGCTTCCTAGGGGCTGGGCAGAGAACCACCCAAGGCGTCACTCACTGGGAGTTCCCTCCCCAAGCCCTCGCTCCAAGATGAGCCCCGCCCTCCGGGGAGCGTGCCTTCACTGTCTGGACTGCCCAAGGCCCGAGGGGACTGCAGGGCCAAGGGATGCTGTGGGCCCATGACCAGGGGGCCTAGGAATAAACCCCATTTGTGATTCCAGGTCTCGGGCTTGACAGTGACCAAAGCGGGGCACAGTGACCATTCTGAGGGCGCTGAGACCCGTGTGCAGGGGCCCGTTCCTACCCCAACAAAGGGCTGACCCAGTGAAGATGGGTGGGAAAAGGGACCTACCCCCTAATCTACAAATTTGATAGCAAAAACCACAGAAAGAAGACATGCTCGCTCACGATGTCCCACAGCTGTCTCGCCCATTTGTGTGCTTCTAGAACAATCTGTACCTTCTACTTTGGTTCGCAAAGTGGCGGTCACCAGAACTCCCACTCTGCAGTCACCTGGGGTGACCACAGTGAAGGAGGGCAGCAAACGAACCAGGGGTCCAAGGAAACGAGAGCTATGACCCGTTGGTCCAGCCCCCAAAGCCCCGCCTACCCTCCCACAGCAGACCAGTGGACAGAAGAAGGGGAAAGGGCCTGTCCATTCAAGGGGCACGGCCTGGCCCTTACCAGACACAAAGAACTGTGTCGTTGTCCGGCAGTCCCCAGCCATGAAGGTCACCTCGCCCATGTCCTCCAGGCTGCACTTGGAGATGGTCAGCGTGTGGCACGTGCCTTCTGCGGTGATGGCCACACGACCCCCGGCCACCACCTCCTCCTGGTTCCTCAGCCAGTGGACGGAGTCCTCGGGCTGGGCCAGCTCCACACAGAACATGGCCGTATCCCCCACTCGCACCGCGGTCTTCCGCGGGAGCTTCCGGATGAGGTTGCCTGTGGCGGGCAGGGCCCGGGGACTGGTCGGTGTCTGGATGGGGGGCGTCCTCTGCCCACCGCTCCTCCCCCAAGCCCACCTTCCGCCCCGCCCCCCGCCCACCCCTCCACCTCCGAGCCCCGCTTCCGACTGTGTACTGCCCCCTGTCCCGCCCCTGCTCGCCCCTCCACTCCGCCCCCAGCCTGACCGCTGCCCCGCCCCCTGCCCGCCCCTCCTCGGAGCCCACTTCCGTCCCGCACTGCCCCTGCACGACCCTAGCCGCGCACCTGCCCCGCCCCTCCTCCCGGCTCCTCCCCCGCCCGCTGCCCGCCCCTCCTCCGCGCCGCGTCCCTTCCCACCTTCCCCACTCGGTTCCCCGCGACCCCCGCGCACCTTGCACCGCGAGCTCCGCCACGGTGCGGCTGCCCTCCGCCGTCTCGCAGATGTAGACGGCGTCGTCGTCGGCCGAGACGTTGCGCACCGTCAGCCGGCGCTCCGTGCCCTCCTCCTCGATGCCGTACTTGGCGCTGGCCCACAGCCGCGTCTCCTCCTTGTACCACGCGGCCTCCGTGGCCGGCAGCTCCACCTCGCACTGGAACGTGGCCGACTCTTTCTCCCGCACCTCCAGGTCCTGCAGCCGCTTCCTGAAGGGCACCGCGGGCTCTGCAGGGACAGGGCGCGTGAGCCGGGCAGGGGCGGCGGGTCTGGGCCGGAGAGAGTAGCGGAGAGGCGGTGGAGGAGGAGGGGTTGGGGGGCGGAGAGTGCGGTCGGGGCAGGGAGAGAGGCGGCGGTCGGAGAGGGAAGCGGGGCAGGTCAGGGGCTCCGTTAGTCGGGTACGGGGCCGGCATGGGGGCAGAGGACCAGGACAGGAGTTGGGTGGGAAGGCAGGGGAGCAGCAGGGATGAGTCCAGGGAGGTAGGGGGATGTAAGGGGGCAGAGGTAAAGAGCCCCCTCCCCTTAGACGGAAGATGTCTGTAAACGAGGCACCTAAAGCCACAGAAAGTATCCCAGAGATGCTGCTCCCGGGCCACAAAATCCGGTGGGATCCCGCTCCCACGAGCAGCGAGGCGGCAGGACCAGGGCCGGCTGCCGCTCAAGCCCCTGAGCGCCGGCCGTGGGCCAAGCCTTGCTGCCCTGCGCACGTTCCCCTGCGCAGCTTCCGCAGGGACCCCCGGGAACCGCGCCATTTCCTTTCTCCCCCACTCTGCCTGGGAGACCCCCTAAGCATCCTGTGAGGGGGTGGAACGCCGCCTCCCACCCCTACCCCACCCCACCTCCCGTCATCTCCCAGGAGGGGGGGGGGGGCTGAGGACAAAGCGCTTTGTTCCTCACTCGTGACTCTCACAGACACAGTAGGACAGGCGGATGGTCATCCGCTTCCCCTCTTTCTGGGGCTCCGGGAACTCGAGAGCTGCCCCAGGACTCCACCTCCGGATTCCGCGACCGATTCCAGTGCAGGTGGAAAGGACAGGGGGAGGAGGGCCGGGAAGCGCTTCTCGGGCAGCGACCACGCGCTGGGGCCGTGCGCCCAGCACCCTGAGCTCACCTCGGACGACGACCAGCACGGAGCTGTAAGTCTGGCCCACCAGGTTGGACGCCGTGCAGGTGTAGAGGCCCCGGTCCGACTGCTTACAGAAGAGGATCTTGAGCACGAAGTTCTCCTGGGCGTCCTCGTACACCACGTGTCGCCGGCCCTCGACCACCAGCTGCCCATCCTTCTTCCACACGGTCTCTGGCTTGGGCTCCCCCGTCACGTAGCAGCTGAGGCGCGCGTGCTTGCCTTCAGTCACGGTGCATGTGCGCGTGCCGGAACCCGGTGGCGAGGCCGGGGCGCCATCGGCGCGTATCGCCTCGCGCCGCCACTGCAGGTGCGCCAGAAGCGCCGCGGTGGAGGCCCCGGGAGGGCCCGCCGCGTCCGCATCCGCGTCCACGGTGAGCGCTGCGTCGGCACTGGCAGCGCCCAGCGGGTTCTCAGCGCGCACCGTGTAGGTGCCGCCGTCGCGGGGCCGCGTGGCCTGGATGCACAGCGCGCTCGCCTCGCCGCTGGCCTCCACGCGCACTCTGGGGGCGTCAGGGGAGCCTAAGCGCCGCCCGTCCTTGGCCCAGCTCACGGCCATAGGCGGCGAGCCGCGCACGCGGCAGCGGAACGTGGCCTCGGCGCCCTCGCGCACGCGGATGGACGTGGGCCGCAGGAGGAAGTGGGGCTCCTGCTCTGCGCAGGCGGCCTCGGCGTCCACCTGCAGGCCCACAGCGGCGAAGGCCTCACCGATGGCGTTGCGCGCGCGGCACACATACTGCCCGCTGTCGCCCAGTGCCAGGTCTAAGATGGTGAGACGGTACAGGTCGCCATCCTGGGCCAGGCGGAAGCGAGCACCCGCCTCCACGGGCTGCTGGTCCTTCTCCCAGCTCACCTGCGGCGTGGGGTTGCCCACGATCTGGCAGCTCAGCGTGGCGTCCTTGCCCACCGACACCATGAAGGCCTTGGGCCGGGTCAGGAATCGGGGTGCCCCACTGAATGAGTGATCCATGGTGGGGGGGGGTGGCGGGAGGGACCTGGGAGCGGGTTAGGGGAAGGTCATAGTGGGGATAAGACCCTGTACTGATCAAGTCCCCCATCTGCGCCACACCACTCCCCCATCCCCGCGCCTCCGCCTCATCTCCCCTGCCCCCACAGCTAGGACTGTCCAAGGCACGGTGATACAGAAATTCAGATTTGCTGCTCCTTTCTGGGCATTTTGGAGTCTGGTGCCACACCTCCCTCACAACAGGCTTTTCTATCTCTTCCTGTCCCCCCAGCTCTAGCCCCACCCCCAACTCCAGGTCCAGTTGAGTACCTGTCCCAAAACACACCAGCACCCTGGCTGGCCCTCGTCTCTGTTCACCAGCATCTCCCTACCTGGGGCCATGCTGTCCTCTCCACACAGACCTGCCTGTGTGTGTGTGTGTGTGTGTGTGTGTGTGTGTGTTCCCTACCCCCCCCAACTCCAGCTGCCTTCAAGGGACCAGTCCCTGTCCCCCACACACTGCTGCCTCCTGGATTCCGAGATTCCAATCTGCCTAAATGTCTCCCCCACTCAGGAGGCGGCTCTCTGAACCTGGACAGGGCCTGGGCAGGGAGGCCTTCCCTGGGTGCCTGCTGCTGGCCTGTGCCTCTGACTGTGGTGCCCTGGAGGTCACAGATCCTCCATCCCAGGAGGCTGCCCTCTGAGCCCTCTGCCCCACGTGCCCCCTTTTGTCCCCTGCCCCTTCCTCCTCCTCCGCATGATTCATCCTCCCAAGACACACTTCTGGTTCTGGGTGCCGCAGCCCGGCTGGCCCCAGGCAGCGCCCATGATGAAAGTCCAGTGTACTGGGCTGTCAGCACCTCTCCAGGGGTTTCCAGGTCCCCTCAACCCTGATCAGCAGGGAGATGGGAAATCTGGCTGCCAGTTTGACCCCTTACAAGCCGCCCCCCCTCCAGAGCCGCCCACACCCCCTCGCTGTGTGCTCCTGCTCCTCCCCCAGGGACAGCACATGGTCAGCTGTGAGCCCAGGGAGGACAGGCAGAGAGTCCCCTGGGAGGAACCACAGACGGCCAGGCTGAGACTGGCCAGGTTGACTGGCAGGGCCTGGTCACTCTACAGACTTTGTGTCCCCACTGGCTGGGCACCCTGTGGGGGCAGGGTTGGCACCCCCATAACGAAGGCTACCAGGGACTGGCTGGCCATTGGCACAGGTGGGTAAGGTGAAGCTGGGCCTAGCCTACCCCACCCCATTTCTGTAAGAAGAGCAGCCCCCCTGGCTTAGAGCTGGCCCCAAGCACCTCAACTTCCTCCCCACCCCAGGGCTGGGCTTCCAGCATGGGCTGCCCCCTGGGAGACAAGTGGGGTGATGTTCTGGACCCTTGGGCTCCTGTCCTGTGATTCAGAGCCTAATCCCCCTTAATCCCCCTGGAGGAGGTGAGCCTGCACCAGTCTGCTGACTCACTGTGCAGTCAGCACCTCTGTCCCTTGCCCCCCCTCGCTACCCCGCCGGGCCAAGCTCTGGGACTGGGAGGACCTGGACCGGTGGCCACCCAAGCCCCGCCTCTATGGACGCCCTCCTGAGCCTTGATGTCTCTCTGGGGAAGGCTTACTCTGACACCGGGTCTCCAGAAGCCCTGAGCTCTGAGCTCCCTGGGCTCCCCCCCTGATTCCTGGTTGGCCTGCAGTTCCCCCCAAGGCAGGACACTCACTGCACCCTAACCCCCACCACTCCAGGTGCAGCTCTGGGAGCTAGGTGCTCGGAGCTCATGAACGGGCAGGGGCTGAGGTCCACCTCAACAGCTGGTGGCCTCTGGGGGCCCAGGAGGACAGGGAAGGGACAGGGACTTCCCTTCACTACACATGCTTGGGGAAAGCAGCCCAGGCCCTTGGCAGGTGACAGGCTGACCCCTGGCCTGGGAAGGATGGGCAGAGACCCCAAGATCTTCTCAGGCCCCAGGAATGGTGCTGATGTCTGGTTAAAGGCCCGTGTTCCCCACCTCAGTGCAGCAGACCCATGAGACCCTGGGGGCTCCCACAGGCTCAACCGCTCCCAGACAGGCATCCCCACTGCTCTATAGGGCCACGGTGCCCAAAATGCTGGCCCAAGGACTCCAGAGCCACACTCCTTCAGGCCAGGTTGGGGGACTCCTGCTGGGCTGGGACATGCAGAGGGGAGTGGGAGGCTCAGGAGAGGACACCTGGCTAGGACTTCAGCCCCAGCTCCCCAGGGAAGCGCCTTCCTCCCTCAGAGTGGACTCCTTGCTCCTTGGAGGCCCAACTTGTCACTGGCAGCAGCCTCCCTCCACATGGACACCATGACCTCCCCACCCCACCATGACCACGAGAGGGTCCTGCCTCTGGACCCTCGGAGTCCTGAGGGCTGATGTGAGCCCTTCCTGCAGCCTCCATCCTTGGTTTTCAAGAACTTGGCCAGTCTTGGGTCCTCCTCACGGGCCCAAGTGGGAATTGGCTTGCAGCCTGACTACAGAACCTTGGTCCCCTGGAGTCCCTGCTGCCCCTCTCCCCCACCTCATCCCCCCACCGCCCAGAGCCCCTGCCGCCCCCCTCCCCCACCGCCAACCTTCCAGAAAAGACTTCCAGCGACAGCTCCTGGAGTCTGGACCCCTGGCCTGGCAGCCTCCCGAACTCCAGGGGAAATTCTTTCCTGGAGTCAGGTGTCAGTGCCCCTCTGGCTGTCCCCTCTGCTGAGCCAACAGGCCCAAAATAGCCCCAGCTGTCAGCAGCCATCCATCTCCGCAGAGCTGGGGGCAGGGCCGGCCAGACCCCCAGGCCTCCTTTGGAGCAGCGGGCCACAGAGGAGGAGGTGGATGCATGCCACAGCCCCCTGGTCTCCCACCCCTAGCGCTCTCTCCCCACAAGAGGGGCTCAGCTCGGGCCACCGCGGGGTCAGGGCCGGATTCCAAAGCCCCAACCCTTTGAGTTACACAACCTGGCTGGATTCCCCTCCCCAGGCCTCTCTGGACCCCAGTGCCCTGACCTTCGACTGCATAGCCCTGAGGGAGAGGGGCTAGGCCCGGGACGGCCCCCGCCCTGCCTGATCGGCCTCCTCACCTGTCTCTACGGGAGGCTGGGAGCAGCACCCAGGCGTAGGGCACAGACGATGGAACAGGGGCCGCTGGGTCTCACCTCCCTCCACGGGCCCGGGACTGACGCGGCTCCCGCCCAGCAGCCCACTCTCTGGCCGGTCCTCAGACTGGACGGGGACGAAAGGACAGGCGGACTCTGTCAGCTGGAGAAGGCTGGGCCCGCCCCCTCCACCAGCCAGCCCAGCCCAGCTCCAAAATAGCCCGGGTGTCACTGCCTGCGATCTGGTTTCACCCCCAGCCCCGGGAGGCAAAGGGCAGAGGCTCTGGGTGGCCAGGTGTGGGGGTGCAGGGGCCCCACCTGGTGGTGACCCCTCCTCAGACTAGTATCCTGGAAGGATACTGGGCAGGAAGGAGCCCAGGAGACCCAGGACCACCCAGGGGGCACCTAAGACCACCTCGAAGGGATCTGGGGCCACCCAGAAAGGGACCTAGAACCAGCCAGAGGAACAGGGGGACCCAGAACTACCCAGAGGAGACCCAGACTGTCCAGAAGGAAGAGGGGGGACCCGAGGCCCAGCTAGAAAGTGACCCAGAACCAGCCAAAGGGGAGAGGGGGACCCAGGAGTATGCCAAGAGCAATGGCCATCTGGAAGTCCTGAGCCTCTGGAAGGGGGTGGAGGCAGGCAGCCAGAAGCCAGCATAGGCCCCAGCACCAGCCCCAATCTGTCCCCACCACACACATGCTGAAGGCAGATTCTTTATCCCTGGTCCTTCGAGCAGCAACTGGCCTGGCTGGGTGTCCACAGCACCTTTAAATGGGAGTGGGGATCCCTGAGAACCCAGACAGGGACCTTCCCGGCCATGGATCAGGGGTGGGCAGGCAAGACAGTGGCCAGTGCTAAACGTGCCCCAGGAAGGCTGTCCCCAACTCCATCCCCATGGCCCTGCTGTAGGGACAAGCATGGACAAAATGCCAGGCCCATCTGGAGGACATGTGGCCTCTGCCTGGTGAGGCCTAACCAGGACCCAGAGAGTCTCCTGGGAAGGGGCTGACCCCTGCCCCCAGCGGCCTAGGTCTGAGACCCACCCTCAGGGACCCCATCTGAGGGTGGGTACCAGAGGAAGACACCCAGCCAGGCCCCTGCACCTACTTGATGCAAGGACCTCTCTAGCTGGTGTGTCTACCTGCTGACCCCCACCACAGCAGGTGTGAGAGCCAGGAGTCCAGAGCTCCCAGGGAGGGGGGAATGAGGGTAGGGAGGACGCGGACCCACCATAGCCAGCAATGAGGGACTGCTTGGCATGCTCAGCCTCACCCCTGCCCCTGAGCCAGCACCCCTGTATGCGGTGGGGACTAAGGCTCTAAGCACAGACCAGATGCCCTGGGGTACCCAAGTCTTGGCTCAGACACCATAACAAAACCACAGACCAGGAAGCTCGAATAGACATTTATTTCTCAGGGTTCCAGAAGGTGCATTATGGAAAGAAGATGCTTGTAGGCCCCAGGACACTGGGGTGTCCCTTCCTGGTGCAGACACAGCCCCACACTCAATATGGACCCACGGGCCAGAGGGCCAGCCCTAGGGGTCCCTCTGTCCACTTCTATGGACACTGATGGGTCCATGGTAACCGGGGGTTAATTGCAACTATAGTGATCCCTTAACCGGCATTCAGGTGACTCACTGGCGTCCAACTGGCCTCCCACCCCTGGTCCTGTAATGCCCCCCAAGCTCACCCTCCTCCTCTGTCCTTCCTCTGTCCTGTGACCCTCCATAGCTCACTCTCCTCCTCCTCTGTACTCCTCCCTGTCCTGTGACCCTCCATAGCTCACCCTCCACTTCCTCTGTCCTCCCCTAGTCCTGTGACCCTCCTGCTCCTCTGTCCTCCTCTCTGTCCTTGGACTCTCCATAGCTCACCCTCCTCCTCTGTCCTCCCCTACCCTCGCAGCGTCCTGTGACCCTCCAGAGGTCACCCTCCTCTGCCCTGCATCCCACATGATGCTGTCAGCCCCCTCTCTCCCTGGGCTCTGAGTGGTCTGTCTGAGAGCCCCAAGCTCAGAGGAACCCCGCCCCCCAGGCCTGAGCCACTCTCCTCCAGCTGTGACACTGGAACCACCCCACCCCCGCCCCCAGGAACAGGGCAGAGGCTGCAAACTCTGAGGCCTGGGAACCTTTCCTGCAGAGGGGAGGGCTTGTGACCTCTAGTGCTCTAGTGTCGGAGGGGAGTGCTTCTTAAGTGGAGGTGGGGGGAGCCAGTGGCCCTGCTCTCTGACCGTCCCAAAGGGAAGCCACAGGCACGCTCCTGGGGGAAGGCCAGGATACTCAGTCTCCCTTCCAGGTCTTCCCTCCGGAGACCTCGTGGACGGTCCCCAGGGACAGTGTGTCTGCAGTTGGCAGTAGAGGGACCGTGGCTCAGGGTGGCCACGGTTTGCTTGTTTCCACAGCTGATGGTGTCACGCCTTTCTCCTGAGTGCAAGACCAATGGCCATGAGACCACAGCCTGCACAGATCCGGGAACAAAACGGGAATGTTAATGGAGAGGAAGGTGAATTCCACATAAGGTCTGGAGTTTGGGTTCGAAAGAACATAGAAGGGGTTAAAACTACTTGTTGTAGCGGGGGTGGGGTGGGTGCTTGGGAAGGAAGGGAGTGGGGGTGGACACAAAGGGGAAAGGTTGGAAGAAGCTGGCCCAATGGGAGGCCTGCAAGTTGTGGGAGCAGGAGGGTTCACACTCATGCCCTTGCCATTGATGAGAAGCTTTGGAAAGAACCTCTGTGCCCATCGGTGCCACACAGACAGAGAAATGATGGTGTCCTGGGGCAGATCAGGCTATACAGCCTCATTCTTAAAATGAGGGGGAACTGTATCCATAAACTTAACTCTTAAAAAGACGATGTCAGTCAGCGAAGTAAGGGATCAAGTGGAAACCACACTGTGAAGCGGGGCTCCCGCTCCCTGCACCTCTGCTGGTTCCTGGTGCCCCCACCACTTGCTCTTGGCTGAGCCTGCAGCCAGGAGCTGAGAGCAAGGCCCAGAGGTCAGGCAGGGGAAAGGGACCCACAGCCAGGAGGTGAGGGGCCCCCATGCGACAGAGGGAGCAGAGGGACAACCTGGGGCAGCAGCTGGCCCCATGACTGCACACAGGGACTAGTGAGACGCAGGAACACAGACCGGACAGGGGTCTATCCACGCTGACAGCACGGATGGCCATGGCTCCCCCACAGGTCACAGAGACCCCACGGACACGGTCCATGCACACATACTACCACAGAACCCCCAGGAACACAGACCCCCACAGGCCAACTCCAGGGCTGCTACAATGTAACGTCTGGAGTGTCCAATTTCCAACCACAAGCCCAAGACATGCCAAGACCAGGAGGGCAGCTACTGCAGCTGTGTCCACTGCTCTGAGAACCGTGGGAGACGTGCCATGCCAGTGTGTCATCGCACAGAGAAGAGCGATAAAGAGAGGGATCAGGAAGTCCAACAGGCAGCAGGAGGGCTCGGGGGCAGCCGTCCTGGCGGCAGAGGGAACCCATGAGCTGGAAGACAGGGGCACAAAGTATGCACTGCAAACACCCAAGCGAGTCCAGGATGAGAGCCACATGGGATGGCACGGAGCCACCGGACACGCATGAGAAGGACAACAGCCGCTCGAGGGCACAGGTGGATTCATGGGGGGCTCACTGCACCTGGGAGACAGGCCGCTCTGGGGGCACACCACAAAGGGCACGCCCTTGGCGTCAACCATCCCTTCTCTCACCAAAACAGCGTCTTGGCCAAATGGTATCTTAAAAAGTGCTGAACCGGGGGTGCCTGGGTGGCTCAGGACATTACCTGTGTCCCTTCCACTCGGATCCGTGATCTCGGGGTCCCCGGGGTCGAGCTGGCGTCGGCATCCTGCTCAGCAGGAAGCCTGCTTCTCCCTCTGCCCCTCCCCCTGCTCATGTTTGTTCCATGTCAAATAAATACAATCTTTTTAAAAAGCATGGTTGCAGAACACCAGACTAAATGCAACATGCTTAAGATTCGTTATTACTCAGCGTACTAACTACTTTCAAAACAGCATTCCTCTTCCCGCCTCCACCCCCGCCATTCCGGACCACCTGCTGGAGATGACTGCAGTGCAGTGGGAGCTCTCATCAACCCAGAAGGTTTTCTCATGGCACCCCGCAGGAATCCAGCTGCGGTGACCCCCTCGAGTGGAAACTCAAGAGTGATCCCACAATCTGACAGAGTGTTCCAGGGAGCGACTCTGCTTCAGCATCTTAACAAAAGAAATGCAAGGATTACGGCGATCTAGGCTGCATCCACTCAGACAAATGCTGGAGAACGCAGGTGAAGGTCTTTCTGGCCCAAAGTCTTGGCCAAATCTTTGGAAAACCTTGTTGACATGTCTGAGGAAAACGAGCCCCCAGACACCCTGGTTCCAGGAGCAGCAGCACCTTGTATGCGCCCCCCCGGTTCCATGCTCACAGTTTAAAATTAGAGCGCACGGGGTCTGGGAGTCACCACGGAGCAGGGAGCCACCTCCCCCGCAACAGCTGCCTTCCCTCCCTGAAGGGCTAAGATTAGGGCTGCACAGATTCCTAGAGTAGAAATGAAGGGCCACAATTAACCGGGTGACTTAATTCGGCAATCTGGCCCTTCTACGGTGGTCAGAAAGGGGCCTTCTCACGGCCAGGGCTTTGCTAGTGACCCGGTCACTCAGATCAGTCACTGCCTTGTGGGCCTTTCCAAAGAACTTCAAGACCTGTACTCGCGATCTCCTGGGCATCATGTTCTGAGAGTCAGCCCATGCAAAATCCCATCATGGCATTTTGTCGCAGGGCTGAAGGAAGTCATTCACAGGGCACAGCACACAGCAGGGGGCCTCCACAGGGCTATTCCTGGGCCTTCAATGGCAAGAGCCAGGGGAGTCAGGAGGCCAGAGAACACTGTCCAAGCCAGAAACAGGCCTGCTTCCTAACCACTGCCTCTGAGATGTGCCGGCAGCTTATCAGGAAGCCACGGTGATGAAGACAGCGGCTCAGGGGTGGGGCAGGCCAGGCCGGAGAGGGGAGAGGAGAACAGAGGAGCAGACAGCACAGAAAGCCAGGAAACCAGAACCACCAGCTCTCCTCTGAAACACACTTTGCACCTGTCAGGGATGAATGGTGCCCCCAGAAAAAGAGACGTCAAAGTCCTCACACCCAGAATCACAGGACCT